GCCTTCTAACCCTGGCACGACCATCGTGCATGCCTAAACAAAATCGAGACTCGTTACTAAAGACAATACTGTTCCATTCCTGATCCCACAGTGACCGTTGCCTGCACCACTCAAGGCGATTACGTCGGTGTTCTCGAGTTAAAGGGAGGAGCCAGTGTGGCCGGTATGAAAACAAGACAAAACTTCTCATTCGTCGGTAAACACTTCGCGTGCCAATAGGTCTTCCGTGTCCTGCAAACCATTCATTTGCAATGGACCTGGTAGTGGAGAAACGGTCCCTTAAGGCCAATAATCTTAGGCGGCGATCTTCACGGTCTGTTGTTCTACGGCGGCGTCCAGTGCCCCTTGGTCTTTGCGTACGGCTTTCTCGAAGCCATGCCTGACAACACCTAACCACAGTGTCTACACTTCTTTGCACTCTAACTGCAATTGCCCGAAAAGAAAGTCCAGCTACCCGAAGTCCCACTATACGGCCCCTATCAAACTCACTAAGTTGACGGAATTGTACAGGTCTCCGTACTCTAGGCATCGTAACCGATCGTCAAGGATGTCAAGAACCAAAATCCGCCAACGTTGATTCTTTACTGCGGCTGAAATATTCATTTTTAGAGCGTTAGTGAATTAAAAAAAAGCAGCATAAAAACCGGAATGTCCAACTGATATGGCTGAAAATTTTTTCACTTGTTATTTACTGTAAGATAAATACATTCACCAACTTTTATTAAAATAAAACCATTTAAACTGGGTGTTCGGATTTATATGTCACTTAGTATATTTATACTTTTTACATCACCTTTTTTATAAACAGGTGTAACTAAAGCTACTTTGAACCCTTCTGGGACTTCATTAGAAATATAAATCCGGTTGATTAAGTGACATAGTGGCATTGAACTTGGACCTTTTCAATGTCCACCAAAAAATTTGATTTGACTCCAATACTTTTTTCAATCTCTAGCAAACCTTACATTCGAACTGAATACTCAAAGGAACAAGACGTGAGCTGGAATTCACCAACTTTTATTAAAATAAAACCATTTAAACTGGGTGTTCGGATTTATATGTCACTTAGTATATTTCGAATATTTGTAGTGTAGAATAACTCAAAGACATAATCCATGCAACGAAAATGCGGTTTTTCCTTTTTTCACAACTTTCCGCACCACGAATCACAATTTTGGCTATAGAACTTGAAAAAACGCTCAGAAATACATATGCACATCGGGCTTTGAGTCAGTGAGGCTATAAGATCCTACTAAAAAGACTTGAAAAATCAAGAACTGGTGAAAATGCGTTTTTTCAGTATTTTGATGATTTTCCGGACAACAACATGACTTTAACAATGGAACTGGATAGAACACAAATATGTTCGTAAACTAAGTTATTCTGTTCGCCTGATCTGAGACGTTTAGAACTGAATTAAGTCAGCTACAATTTTTGCAATTTTCCGGAAGCAAAACAACATTTTGATTATAGAACCTAAAAAGCAGGCAATAATACTTATTTATATACGTTGGGTTTCTGAGTTTTCTAGCTTACGATATTCCATGTTAAAAATATAAAAAATTGGTGAGAATGCGCTTTTCCGATTTTTGGCGATTTACCGCGCATAGATTCTTAATTTGTTAGTGGATCTAAGAGGAATGTAAGAAAGCACCAAGATGCAGTCAACCGTCAAGCTTGCAAAATTCTCATTAGCTAACCTAAAATTCGAAACCGAAATTGAAAAAAATTGTTCCTCGGACGTATAGGTTTCAAAAATCTTTAATAAATTACGGTTATGCAGGAAATAGCAATATAACGTCGGTAGTTTTTTCAAGTAAAATTGCGCCCCTAAAAAAGTATTTCTGACAAAATGCGTTTTTGAGGTTAGGGGCTCCTGTGGTGATTTGATCCAGTATGCCATAAGTTGAATCGATCCAAATTTGGATACCTTAAGGGCAATTTTCATTCGCAGTTTTACCTATAGCCTTTATGGCTTTAACTTGCGTAATAAGACACCTCACCATACATCACGTTTTGACTTTTTAGCTCATACTCGTGGGTGGGGATAGCAAGATTTGATATTTCTTCGTATGCGAGTAGTGGACGAATAAATATGGCACCAAATAAGAAGATGGTGGAGTGTTTTCTTAACAAATATGAGTTTCAAAGCGATAAATTTCATCAACATATTACTAAGGTTGGCGTATTTTAGGATGGAGGTAGGTGGTTAGAAAGGATCTGTTTAAAGTAGAAGCGGTTAATTATTGTTCTTAGACATATAAGAAATAATAATCTAACGTTTGTAATCAAAAATGATTAGGCCCAAAAGTATCTGCGATCGGGCACATCCTTTTTTGCCTTTCCATTGTTTCCTAAAGACTCAAATCAGTACTAGCGACTGCTCTAGCGGCCGGACGTGAATGTTTTTGTGTTAGACCTATCAGTCGGTCATCAACGTTCATATCCAACGCATAGCTTCAATAATTCAAAACACAGGACAAACATAATTGTGCATTAATGAGACCTGATTAAACTGATTTGCTCATAAATAATTTCAATAGCATTTTCGCAGAATCAGCAAGGCGTATCCCGTCTGTGGAGTATCCAAACATTTCAATAGTTCATTTTGCGCAGTCGCTAGATAAGGAATTGTTCCGTATATCAGGTGACAATTTAAGGCTACTGAAGTCACGTCGCCATGTTAGAATAAAGCGCGAGAACTTTTTAAGAGAAGCGGTAGCTGAACAGTAATTCCTGCTCTCTTGTAAGTGCAGAAAAGATCAATGCATACGGATTCTGAAGATTGATAAATATGATTAGATTATGTTTGAGAAATGGTTACATTGGGTAAAAAAATTCCGCATGTATACATTGAAAATTAAATAACCGTAATCCACTCATTATGTCATGGACCTTTTGTTCCAGCAAAATCGGCTGCGAAACAGCTACAAGGCAGCTACAAAACGAAGCTGGTGAATGGTGGTTCTCCGCAATGCCTTACGATGCTAAAGGGTAAAATCCCATTAGAAAATAATGAATCAACAAAAGCAAGAAAGTATGACGTTAAGGCAGGACAAAGTAAACGAACTAATGAAGGTAATCAATACGCAATCAGGAAGATAAAAGATAGTCGAAATAGGCACATTAAATCAATGAATGAATCAGTCAAATTTAGTATAACATTCAGAAGTCTAAGAATAGAACAGATTCTATTTCCACCTGTGGATATGTGCAGAAATCAAGTTTTCCGTCGAGCTATCTGCTCATACCCAACAATTTCTCCACTCTACAGGACAGAACGAAAGATAAGATTAGTCAACGTAATTCAATAATTATACTGAACAAACGGAGTTATCAATCGACAAACTAATATCCTCCTTATCCAGGTAAGACAAGAGTAAGCAACTAATCCCTCCAGTAAAAGACAAGGTGTCTTAATAGTAAACCAAATATTCCCATTCAGATATTTAAAACAAGGTATATTGATAGGAAACCAAATATTCCTATACACATGGCTAGTACGTACCGAAATCACAAGGTGGCGCTGGTTTCCAATGGTTGGAAGAATGATATTTTGGGGAAATTTCTGAGATAGTCGTTAATAATTCGTACTATAACATGAGTGTCCAAAAGGTTTCAACACAATACTGAGTCGCTGAGAAAGAAATATACAATACGTGTGAAATTATACAATCAATAAACTATGAAATTTACCAAAGGAAAATCATCAAAAGGGTTTGGTCTAGGAATCGGTACTCTATAATCGATAAAGAGAAATTCGTGATTCTGGCAAGTGACATTTTGACGGCTTCTTTCAAAACAAATTCAAGGGTTTTAACAATGCAAGTCTTTTTAGACAAAAGACCTCGAGAGAAGAAATAAGGAAACAAGTCCCATCTTTATCACCACAAAATAGATTATGACATCTCATGAAAGGCATACGAGGTTGGTATAGTTAGAACTAAGAGGCTTTGCAACCACCCTTTCTATGCTGATAAAGTCATACATAATGTGCGGTTCATAAAAACCGGGCATTGGTAAACGAGTAAAGTCTACAACAACTAATTTACTGCGTATGAACAATTTGCAAAATTAATATTTCTGCCATTAGTTTATAGGGCCTATAACGTTTATAAATTGTAGATCAAGAAATTGAGGAGCCATTCTTTGGACTAGAACTATTTGGTCTTCCTGAAATAACTTGCGTACAACACAATTCAATGAAACCTAGACAGCCTTTTAACTAGTTGAGACCATGGACCAAAATCAACTTATTTAGGCCCAGATACAATATTGCTAAATACAAAATACAGTTTTTCAAAGAGGATTAAACATCCCAAAAATATGACGTTTGGGTAGTTATCATTATACAGTGTCTACAAAAATTTTCATTGCTGCATATAAGGTTGTCTATGCCTGTCGAATTAAACGAGTCTCTTTTCCATGGGTAGCATCGTGTGAGGCTCCATCTAGTTACTTTGCTGTCAGAATTTCGTTGAAATAAACAGTGTTTAAATGCTATTCAAGAAAAAAGTCCTTTATGAGCTTATATGTTTAAAATGAGGATGCATTTAAAACCATCTAAAGCAATATAGTCTAACAATATAGTCGAACGGCAATCGCATTACGTAACTTAAAAACTAATAATATAGTATCGATTTTTTACGTCGTAAGTAACTTTTTTGACATTATGTAGGTTTTCCTATAAGTTGTCACCTTTGAACTAGCTGACATTCACTTTTTGCTCAGGAATGAATCAGCGGCCCATTAGCAGCTAGATATCTATGTAGTGCACATTTTTTTTGGCATTACCAACTCAATGTTTGCGTCATGTTTGAGAAACACCCAGTATTCCACTACTTAATTCAGAATCGTACCTGTTATACTGATACCGCAAAATATAGCAAATAGTGAATCAATTAGCCGATATTTAATTCGGCTGAAGGGTAAAAATTACTTCATGCGACAAATAAGGACAAATTACCAAATATTAGGCTACATCATTGATCTCATCTTACCGGCAAGTATAGATCTCCAAAAACACCGTTAGAAAGCGCGGTAGTACTAGCAGAAGCACTTCGACTGTCTCTTCAACTGAAACTGACCGCTCCTGCAACGTTGTAGAGAGAGTTTCTGTTCTGACGCAGCGTTCGGTCTCTCGATTTTCTCACTCACCGCTTGCCCAACCAAAGCCAAAGCCGCGTAGAGCGCGATATTATAAGTGCAGCGCTACATTTATAGGGCAGTCATACAGTAGGAGAATAATTATTACTATCTTTATATCTAGCTATTTGTGCAAAATTGTTCAATCATCCACTGACTGCCAAGAAATACGTATAAAGTGGTAATGTGTTGACAAACTCCATTTCAGATATTGCTGTAGATGTAGAGGATTTATTCGTCATATTATATACAATATATGTACGACAGGTTATCGAATACGGAACGCATATGTAAAGTACAGTTAATGTACATCTACAATAAATAATGAGGGCACCCATGATATGAATCACAAACAATAAAAAATGGCAATTTAGGAAAATCGTAATTTGAAAAATTATAATTTAATAATGACTTGAGACACGAACCACAAGCAATTTGAATTTTTTTTTAATTCTTCAACAGAGTAGAAACACTGGTCCAGGATGATGCACTCCATTCGTTTTTTGAATTCCATATTCAGCTCACGGGTGGTCTGGAGCAGGTTGGTGAAAGAATTTGTATTTAATCTACAACATGGAATCCTGAGGGCTACATCCTGTCTTGTTTCATACTTGTGGATTTCTGATTCGATTGTGTAGCAATTCAAGTTTTTACAATTATAAAGTAGAGTGTAAGTTGTGTGGATACATGGCACCATTTGGAACCAAATGCTTAGCGCATGGTATAATGCATATGCATTTCGAAGTCACATGGGACTATAACTTGATCCAACAGGGCTTCACCTTGTGGATCCTACAACTTTTGAAGTATTTCCTTGAGTGTGGGAAATTTCGATTAAAATTTGTTCTGTCGCCAAGACCTCACATCAGAGCCGGTGTCTCTCAGCGTTCGGTTCTTGACACTGCCCTGGTGACCGAATCGTGTTCTGGGAACCTGGTTCCGACAGACTTCAAAGTGCGGTAGACGAGGTGTTCATGCAAGTTCTAAAACATACCTTATTATTTTGAAAATCCATACAAATTCAAACCCTTTGGCACGTGCGCATACCAGTAAAACATGCGCACAAGAAGAAGATTTCGTGAATACAATCTCGTGAAGATCGGAAAAGGCAACGGTAGTCTTCAAAGACCTCGACAAAAGAATCCTAGTTAAACCGGGTAAAATATATTCGCTAAGGCAAGTGTGGTCAACCTAAGAGGAGGCTGGGAAGAGAGAGGAGCTCCTCCAGACCAGGCGACAGAAACACCCAGGTACGTGCTAATCCTACATTGTCTTTGTATGGCTCGGGTGTCGATTACCTTATTACCAATTACATCTGAACGCGCTTACAGTCCCAATTTAGAATCATCTTTGCAATAACACAAGGTATTGGAGTAGGCGGATCGGTGGCTGAGCATTCGAACACGCAGGCTGTGTATAGTAGGTACTAAAAACGTAGCACCGCGCCTAAAGTGTTGAAAACTAAATTCCAAATCACATTTCGCCAACTATACCCTAGTGTATGCAGAAGCTCAGCATTAAGTTTGATCAAGAGAGTTTTTCTATACAATATGCTTAATAGACCCGCAATCACTTATGCATGTTCGCCAAACGACATTTGCGTAGTCTGCAGGTTTGGAATGACAGAACCTTACATACAATCACCAGTGCCCCATGAAACTTCTCCAATGAGACCTCGAAATCTCTTATCTAAAGGACTATATGAAACAACAAGCGCAGCTAAGTTAGCGGAATTGTATAGCATCCCTTAATTGCACGAGTCAGTAGACTACACAGTCGAGCAAGTTTGCAAGCACACAAGGTCGCGGCACGCACTGTGAACAAAATTAAATCGTGCGTAATTACAATATAAATCATAATTTTTCCTTAACTGAATAAATTTTAGAATCAAGGCACCCCGCTTCTTTCTGTTCGCTCTTCTTCCTTCCTTTCTTCTGTCCTTCTTACTCCCTGAAATTGTCTCTCTTTAACCAAGAGCAACGGTCATATGGATCGCTCTGACAGACAATGACGAATAGAAGATTAGATGGAAGTGAAATATACCAAAGTATGCATTTAATAGGCCTGCTTGTGTCGATATACGCGGTAGTTATTGTCGCAATACGAATAGCTGCTTTGGAAGCCGTTTGCACAAAGAGCTTACATAAGCTTCCCATTTGAGAGCATCAATTTGTATGCCAAGAGTACAAACCGTTTTCATTTAACCGATTGTTCACTTACAGAACGGTCCTTTGAGTTTTGTCTTCATTAAATTTTCAATTGTTCGCTGTAAACCATCTTTCTACCTTCAATTCCAAGTCAATAGTACTTCCGGTGAGCACATTGAACTAATGTAGTGTGATCAGCAGTACTGAATAGCGCAAGAAAACATTGAGATATGTTTCAAAAAGTAATGACCCTAAAATAGAGCCTTGCGGTATACCATTTTCTGTTGATGCAGATTAAGATTCTTCGCTATCCGTACTATTTGACAACGATTTATCAGGAATGAGCTCAAAAAGTTGCCACGACCACCGTAAAATTCTAGATCTTCTAATCGTATTTTATGCGACACAGAATCAAAGGCACGGTCAACGGTTTTGGGATATCACAAAGCGTAAAAGACGCCTTCCTCAAAACCACCGATAGCACATCGCACAACCTCCGTGATGACACGTGTTGAAGAGCACTTACGCCGAAAACATGGTTGATTTTTAGTAAGTGTTCTAGTGTCGTCAAAGAAGGAACGTGTTTCATGGATATTATCCAATAGCCTTGCAATTATAGGACTTATAGAGATAAGTCTATAGCATCTATACCTAATGTATTGCTTTTTGTGTACAAAGATTACTTTATTCATTTTGAATGCATTTCCATCATGTTCAAGCTAGTTCTATATTTTTTATATTTGGACTACCTTATGTGAATTCATTACTTCTAGTAAATAACATAAGTATTGTTTTTCTTTACATGCACCAGTTCGCAACTACATATAGTGAGCTAGTTTTGGTGAAATAATTCCAGATGACAGTTTTTACTGGCACATATTCAGTTGTTTTTGCGACCGCGTGTAAATTTTAACGATATGAACGTAAAAGGTAACCATGCTGCTATATTTTTTGTCAGCAAAAATTAAAACTACGAAAACTACCATAATAAAGCGTTACTTGAGTTTGAGAATTGAGAAATGTAGAATATGCTTTCTCTTGTCCTTCCACGTTCTTCAGAACTTTATATTGTAACTCTTGGCTTGTTGTCTCTTGCTGACTGACTTATATGAAAGGCTTAATATCAGACATGATTCTGCGAAGGAAAATTATTCTTGTTAGCCACTAAATAGGTATGACAATATTGTCTTTTAAATATTTACAAAAATTGGTATTTTTTATTATATTCGCGTATGGGTCTCTTCTCTGGTCAAATATTAGCTAATCGCCAAAGTAGCAAGTGGATGCAAATAAAGACATTACGAACTTCATTTATCTTGTGTCAACATCTTAAATTAATGACATACAAATATTTAGTGGACCCGTGAAAGGACTATTTAAAAAATTATTTTTCCTTAAGTATTAACCTGCTCTTTTCACCATATTAGTTGTGCCATTATACAGGGTTATCCAAATTAAGTGTCCACCATTAGTAACTTTGTTATTAGTGAAAATACAAAGTTGTTTGAATTAGCAAACTAGTAGCATTTTTAACGCTGGTAAAAATGAGAAATAAAAAAAAACAATTGATTGTCGTTATTTTGATTTTTTTCAGTAAAATAACATTTTTTTAAATGGAAACCCCTGTATATTATATTTTTTTCTGTTAAAGCATCAAATTTTAAACAAAAAAGTTCATAATGACTTTTCCGCTAAAGTCAAAAATAAAGTCAAAATAACGATAAATATTTTTAATTATTTGCAGTATTATAATATTAAGACGGCTATGAAAACAACATGGCGTTCGCGATTTGACAGCATTAAGATAAGCGACAAATTGTTAAACTGGACATACTCGCAACTAGAAGGCTTTGGAAAACAATGATAAAATCAAATAATGTCAAACATTAGTGTAAATACTTGTTTATAAGCTTTATTGTGTCATTAATTTAAAGAAAAATGTTCTCCCATGAAGAAAAGTGTGATATGTTAGAATGCTATTTAGTGTGCAGAAAATCCTCCTTGAGAGCAAGAGAATACTACAGTGAATTATATCCCGCTCGCATTCAACCGTATGAACGATATTTTCTGAGACTTAAGATAAAATTTAGGGGCAACGAAAATTTTTTTGCTAAAACAAGGGCAAAAAAAGAATTCATAATAAGCGAGGCCACGGAAATTGCAGTTATTGGATATTTTGAAGCTTATCGTGAGAATTCAATAGCAGATATTCTCAAGGACTCTAATTTCAGTTATGGTACTGTTCAAAGGATTTTAAAAAAATACAAATTTATTCCGTATAAGTACCGACCAGTTCAAACGCTTTTGGCAGGGGATCCAGAGAGAAGACTTGTTTTTTGCCATTGGTACCTTAGCTTCTGTCGCCAAAATGTAAATAACTTTCGTTACCTTTTATGGACAGATGAATCAAATTTTTCAAATTCTGGAATGTTTAATAGAAAAAACCACCATTATTGGTCAAGAGAAAAGCTTTTGTTAGTACATCCAAGAGGCCCACAAGTCCGTTTCAGTTTCAACGTTTGGTGCGGTATAATTGGTTCAAAAATTGTTGGCCCGTTCTTTTATGAGGGAACCCTAACTGGTGAAAGATATGTGGAATTTATGTCAGAAATTCTGACTAATTTCTTAGACGAATTGGATCTTATAAGTAGACATCATCTGCATTTTCAGCAAGATGGCGCACCTGCCCACAACTCCAGAGGTACTTATCATTTTCTAAGTACTACTTTTAATGATCAGTGGATAGGAACAAATGGCCCAATACAGTGGCCTCCCAGATCACCAGATCTAAACCCACTTGATTACTTCTTGTGGGGTTACTTAAAGAACCAAATTTACAAGCGAAGGTACGATAATCTTGACGCGTTAAAGACTGCAGTTAGGGAAAAGATAACCCAGATAGATGGTAGGACCATACTTAAGACAGTTCGAGCAGTTGAAAAACGTGCCCAAAAATGTATTGAAGAACAAGGCGGTGTTTTCGAGCATCTTCTTTAAAAAAAATTGTTATTGTATTTTGTAAGATTATAAGTTGATGTTGAAAATAAAGTTTGTCGATACAATTTAATTGTTTCAGATTGGAGGCCATAACTTCAACAATTTGTAACCTAGGAGAAAAGTTATTGTAAGCTTTTTTGTTTAAAATTTGATGCTTTAACAGAAAAAAATATAATATACAGGGGTTTCCATTTAAAAAAATGTTATTTTACTGAAAAAAATCAAAATAACGACTCTCAATTGTTTTTTTTTATTTCTCATTTTTACCAGCGTTAAAAATGCTACTAGTTTGCTAATTCAAACAACTTTGTATTTTCACTAATAACAAAGTTACTAATGGTGGACACTTAATTTGGATAACCCTGTATATGAGTTACGGCCTCAATCTTTTTTTTGGGCCCACTGCTCAACTTGCTTCCAAGCGAAGCTTTTGTTCCTGCTTTATTACATCTCTGCGTCTGAGGAGCTTCATAACGAGAACATTATATCACAGTCAGTGTCCAAAGAGTGAAGCAATTCCTTTAGTTCATAGTAAAGATAACTAAGTGCCACTTCTACCTCAAAGATCATAAGCCAAACACCGACCTCATCCATAACTAAGATTCTTGAACTGAGCATTATTAGTGAGAAGGTAATGTTCAATTCAAATAGTTATCTAGATTTTCATTAACATATTTGACCTACCTTGGTTCGACCAATTGCTTGTAAAGAATTTAACTCTCTTATACTGATATGACAATACCATTGTGGAAATCTGATAATAAGTACTAGATTTTCTAGTAATTTGTATGCGCAATGTATGAGAATGTTCCGAGCTGACCTACACTTTGCTCTAAGGAAAAATGAAAACGAAAACTACTGCTTTTAGAATAACTGTTATTTTATTTTGTGCGACATTCTCGCGCTGTTTATGATTGCATTTAGCTAACTTGAGTACATACTATGAAAATCAGTTGCAGTCTTGAAATTGAAAAACCCCTAAGACTATCGAAATAAGGCAGTACAAAATGCCATCTACTACCAGAATAGACCACTGAAAATCTGAAAGCAGCAAGCTGTCAGTTGCTGCCAGTTCCCATTGCCAGCCGGGTCACCACTGTGGCCGCTAGATGCCGCCGATTCTGTTGCTATAGTAGATAAGGTCTACTCGCCATTGAACAAACTAGTAATATAGCTTCCGTTCTTCCTTCAGTCATGGTGTAGGGTTGATTTCGATGGACACCGAAAGAAAGCTGAGCAATTCTATTGCTAGTTTGTTCAATGGCGAGTAGACTATATTACTAGAATCAGCGGCATCTAGTGGCTAAGTTGTTACCTAGCCGGCAATGCGAACTGGCATACAGTTCAAACTGACACCTTGCTATTTCCACTTTCGCAGTGGTCGATTCTGGTAATAGTTGGCACTTTGTGCTTCCTTATTTGCATAGACCTTATACTCTGAATAGAGTAGAGATGGTCCTCTTTCTTTCGTTTTCCACCTAGACCAAGCCTTGCTGAAGAGTCGCCAAATAGCATCCAACTGCTGTCCATGGATGTCCGTCTGTGGGAGGACGAACGAGAGCTAAATTACTAACCTCTAAAACTATTGGTTCTCGCCTATACATATACAGAGTGCAATTTGTCACAACTAAGGCGCTATGTCACGTCCTGGAATAAATACGACGATCTACTAGTAAATGTGCTTTTGCTGACAAGATTACCTATTGCATATCCTGAGTAATCTCGTAAGTATTGCATATTAAATTTAATCAGATCGCGTAATGCAGTCGCACGTTCACAGATGAAAGAGGTAAGCTGTAAATTTTATCGACTCTTTCAGATAAGGATAAAAATAGATGTTTCTTGTATACGACTAAAGTTGAGTCTTCTCCATTTTTAAATTATTCCTTTATCATTGTTTCGCATAAGCTTTTAATGCGGCGTGTTCGTCTAGCGCATCAAATGACTATATTTGAAAATGAAATCGTTGGTTAGTAAGCATAGGTACACCAGAATTTTTATGAAAAAAGTAAAAAGTGTACTTCCTGGTAAGAACCGGAATACTTTCACGGTGCTATGAGTAACATCCGGGGGTTGATTATAATATTCCATTTTTGATGTAATATATTTACGGAAGATTTTATGTTTTTTGTCCACAATTGGTACCACGTGTAATGATGTCTCAGGGTCTGGGTGCCGTCCTTTTGTTATAGACATAAATCAAAAAGAAATTATTACCTTCACGTGCATTTTCAATTTCCATTAAATGTGTCATCACTCTTGTATTTCTTCAAGCGAACATTAATCACTTATTAATGGGGAATGACTGTTCCATTTTATCAACAAATGAAGCATATCTATTGTCTTCATGAAACATAAGAAGTGCATTTGCTTGTGGCTGGCAATTTTTGATACCGTAGTCTGTTCAATGCTAATGGGTTTTCTGATTTTCAATGGAATCTTTGAGCTTTAGGTTTCTGTTGGTACTAGCTTTTAAGGAAGCTTTTGATAGCTCATATCGTAGTAGTCTTTAGCTCACCGCTCTTTTGGTGACAAGATTAGACAGTTTTCTATCTTATGTCTTATACTAAAGAGAATAACCAGATAAATTTTGCTTATCTGTAATTCCGACTAACAGCCGGTAAACAGTTTTTTGATCAGATTGATGCGGGGCTCCAAGTAATGTTACTGCTGCTGCACTTTATGAAGGCTGTCAATTATTTTTTTAATATTTACTCTCATTTTGTTCCTTCCTCTGATTGTCGCGGCTCTAGTATATTCCAGAAGCTTGAAATTTTAATTTTGTATCACCCATTGTACACATACATTTTTAAAGGATATACGCAAAATTTTGGCTGCCTATAATACTGCTTTTGACGCTACGAGTAAGAAACCGAAGTTTATAATAGCCAATCCATTAGAATTCTGTTAAATAGGGCAAGTTAACTGTAGTACTACCAGTTTTAATAGTGGCGTCATCTGTTGTCGTAACTGGTAATCTGAGAACTGTTAGTGGGCTGGACGGTGTGTTTTCTATACTACGGAAATAAAGATCCATTGTCTTGTGCTATGTAGTACCGTATGCAACCAATAAATACGAGGGATGTCTTTTAAGTTTTGCGTATAGAAACATAGTCGCGCGGATCGAACGTCAGTACTGAATCTTAACCTCACTCTTTAGTAAACTTAAATTCAAAGTTTCACAACAATACGTGCAGTGTTCTCACTACAGTGAATTTTTAGGTGTCACCAAGTTATTAGTAAAATGGAACTCAACCGAGAACATTTTCGCGTCATAATTTATTACAACCTTCAGAGACAATTATCGCAACAAGAATGTCTTGCTAAGTTACTGTCTGTTTTCGGCAACGAAGCGCCACATCAGTCGACAATTTCCCGTTGGTATGGAGAATTCAAACGTGGACGGGTGAGGCTTAGCGACGATCCCAGGGTGGGTGCACTAAAAACGGCAGTCACCTAGGAAAATGTCGATGCTGTGCGCAAACTCATCATTGAAGATAGACATGTGACATATCGCGTGATTGAGGCGACCTTGAAGATCTCAAAGACCTCAATTTAAAAATTTTACATGAAGAATTAGGAGTAAGAAAATTAGTTTCACGTTGGATACCCCACCTGTTGACTGAAGAGCAGAAAGCAGCCAAGGTTAATTGGTGTCACAAAACGCTTGACCGTTTCAATTCTGGAAACTCAAAAAATGTGTACAGCATTGTTAGTGGTGGCGAATTGTGGATTTACTGTTATGAACCAGAAAATAAACGACAGTTGGCTGTTTGGGTGTTCCAAGGTGAAGAAAAGCCAACAAAAGTCATCCGTTCTCGAAGCGTTTCGAAAAAGATGGTCGCGACATTTGTGTCAAAAGCGGGTCATATTGCAACAATTCCTCTTAATAAGCCAAGAACTGGTACTGCGGATTAGTATACCACCATCTGTTTGCCAAAAATCATCACCGAGCTTCGAAAAATCAACCCCGAAAGAAGAATCAACCTCCACCAAGGCAATGCAAGCTTGCACACAGCCCAAAAAACAAGGCAGTATTTATCGGAAGAAAACGTGGAATTATTGGACCATCCTCCATATAGTCCCGATCTAGGTCCTAACGATTTCTTTACTTTCCGAAAATTAAAAATCAGACTGCGTGGTCGAAGGTTCCAGTCAACAGAAGAAGCAGTTGACGCATTCAAAAATGCTGTTTTGTATCTGCCAGGAAACGAATGGAATAAGTGCTTCGAAAATTGGTTCGAGCACATGCAGACGTGTATTAATCTTCATGGAGAATACTTCGAAAAACAATAAAGTCATTTAAAACTACCTACCGTGTTGTTTTATTTCCATATGCAAAACTTAAAAGACATCCCTCGTACCTAGTAGTTACATAGTAATTGATTCACTAGGAAATGCTTGCCCCGCTTGACTCAACACTCAGCCAATCGAATTTAGTTCTTTTTCTTTTTGTAAATTGATATAACCAAAAAGAGTTTTCAAAAAAGTTATACATAACTGAGTTGAGGATTTAGGACTAATCTCGGATTACCTTAGGCCCGTATCGTCAGTCGTCCCTAAAATTGTAGAGCGCCTTTATGGCCTCCTTGATTGTCATAGTTTTCTGCTTCTCCGTGTCAGAACTCTATTTTGAGGTTATGTCACAAACATCTATTTGCATCAAATTGTGCTTGCTTTTGAGTTATATCATGTTTCATCAGCCTGAAATTTCCTATAATTTAAAAAGAAAACATATCTTCACAATAGGAGAGCGCTGACGCTGACACGGGACAAGTGTAATCTAGAAATTTTTGAAGGAGACAAAGGAGGATGACAATCAAGGAGGCCATAAACGCGCCATACAATTGTAGGGACGACTGACGATACGGGCCTTAGTAGCGAAACGATAGCTGTCTATATAAATAGAGCCCAGAATTTGAAGGATAATCTGGCATCTGCAAATAGGTAATATTGTGACATACTATAGGTATACGGCAAAAAGTTGAATCATATAAAGTCTCATAGTTTTCGAAAATTTCAGCAATTAACTTTTTTTTTTACAAAAACCACTTGAATTTATTTGCTTTAGTGTCATATTCTGAGAAATCAACATTTGTGTTGCGTTAGAACACTCAGAATCAGGCATAAGGCATTCCATTACATCAACCTTTTTGACTAATTGTTACAGTAGTCATGCTCGATTCTTCTATACAATAAGGCCAAAGTCAAACGAGATAATTAGTTTTCGTTAAAATTTTAGACTTTGGCATGATTTTTATGTAGGTTCCTCACCAATTCAAGAAAAGATAATACTGGGATGAAAGTAGTAACTCCGGGTGTTTTGAAACAAACTTGGTCAAAAAAGTTGACAGTTTTAGAAAGGATTAAGTAAACTCAAGTCGAAAAAATTTAATACAGAAAATCTCGAAAACTATGAGATCTCCAATAAGACAAACGTTTGCCATGTGGTGGCGAAGTGGTAGACGCTATAGCTATATTAATGAGTCACGGTGAGCTACGTGAGTTCAAATCCCGTGCTTAGAGAATTTCTCTCTTTGCTATGGATGCTGTGGTTATCCGTAGATGGTAGATCTCACATCGTCGGCATGGAGGTACTACCCGGTAGATTTCCAAGGCGGGGTCAAAATAGGTGCGTGCCATATGCATATGTATGCTAAAACAAAGTTCTTCTCTTGCGGATGTAAACAGAAATATTAGTCTGAGTACTTGCTTTGCTTAGCAACTCATCAAGGCGAGAATCCATTCTCGGTAGCATTGAGATTATACGGTAGGAAGGAAGGAAGCTTCACTGGATCGTATCGTCTCTTAACTTGCGATAATGGAAGATCGAGCCAATTCTTGAAGAATCATGAAAAGGATGACCTTACTGCTAATGAATGACAAAATAAGGACAAAATAAAACAACACCATTAACCAAACTTTCAAAAATAAAAAAATTATTTATTTGTCATGTACAAGAGTATCAATGGTCAGTTTCAACATTTGAGCATTTTAACACATATAAGTGATGTTTGGAGGTGCTATAAACTACGCGTCCACCGACTTCGAGACGGAGACATTTTTCTGGATGGAAACTGATCCACTGGTTCCTGAAGCGATGCCGCTCACCAGCTTATTTACTGCTCCTAACGTCGATATCGGGATCTGTAAAAAAGTGTCAGTATGACTAGTTTTTGAGGAACTGATATAGGCGAGGGAAAGAAAAAATATAACGCTACCTCGATATGGCCACTAGGTATATGTAGACACAGATGTTGAATAGTTGCTTGCAAAGAAGTTGTGAACTTTTTTATAGATATTTGCCCTCTTGTAATGGTCGTACGTCAAAAAAAATGCTGCAGAAGGACCCTCTGTATCGCAACGAATGTTGTAATAATCACGTGATGCAATGAAAGCAGGGTTTTCGATGGCTCATCAGGTTTGGACATTCTGCCGTTGGTTGCTTATTTATCATAATCATCATTGGGATCAGTGGTATGTCAGCGCGACAAGTATTTCGAATTTCATCAACGGTCAGTTTTTAAAAACTGTGAACGAAAAATGGCGGCTTGGAGACTGTTTGAGTCAGAAAAGTTGTAGGAGATCTGGAAACCATTCATGGACATATGCTGTCAGGTAACCAAATAAGTTGGTTATGGACGCAAAATCCAGGACACCGTACCAAAAACTTGCAGAAATATTCAGAATGAGTCCTGAAACTATTCGTTTGGATCTTCATCAGCTAGGAAAGACGTGGAAGTTAAGCGAATGGGTCCCACTTGAACTGACAAATGATAACAAATCAAGTGGCCTTACCATTTGTTCAGCAAACATTTCACGCAACGCTAATGAGCCATTTCTTAATCGATTATTAACCTGCGACGAAAAATGGATCTTGTATTCGAATTCGAAGCGTTCGTATCATTGTTTTTCGCCTATTGATTCGGTACCACACACGCCCAAGGCTTCCTTGCACCCAAACAAGGTTTTGTTGTGTGTTTGGTGGACAGCAACTGGAATTGTCCATTATGAGTTTTTGGAAAAGGTTCAAACCATCACTGCTAACTTGTATGGTGAACAGCTTGAACGAGTACAAGCAGCACTCGTCCAGAAACAGCCTTCTTTGATCAATCGCAAGAAGGTGATATTCTTACAGGATAACGCCAAGTCTTATACCGCAAAAGTGACCCAAGAAAAAATGTCTGAACTCGGCTGGGAAACGTTACCACACCTGCCATATTCTCCTGACATTTCGCCCAGTGATTATCACCTTTTTTTGCTTCTCGACAACTGTATGAGGCACCGACAGTGCACAACTCGAGATGGTGTAATAAATGCAGTCCGCCAATTTCTTTACTCCAAATCCAGGGAGTTCTACAATACCGGCATGCAAAAATTGGTTCCACGTTAGCAAAAGGTCGTTGAATGTGATAGTAATTACGAATAAATAGTGTCTTACTGTTTCTCAATAAAAATTTATATTCTTCTATTCAAAACCGCATGAACCTATTTGATTACCTGATAGTTAAAAATGGTTATATTTAGCAGGGCGAAATCGTGATTAAGTTTTGAAATAAAAACATTTAGGACATTGCTAGATTTTGCTAATAACATCTGCCGAATACACTTGCCCAGTCGCAGTCGTCGTGGCATGCTTCTGATGTGGTAATTTACGTCTTTTTGAAGCGTTTTATGTCAAACTAGCTGTACTTGATTCCGAAGAGCTACTAACGTTGGCGGATGATGAGGTGAATGGCTTACTCTTCTTTCCATCATACCTCACACATGTTCAACTGGTGATTGATCTAGAGATCTAGGAGGCTACGGAAGGACGTTGATCTGATTGTTATTGATTTAGCTAACTGCAGCTCTAGCAATATAGGAACGGCGACTACCTTGTAGCAAAATACCTCCCCTAACGAAGTTGTCACTCCATTACATGTAACATGACTCACTAAAGCAGAAGTAAGATGGGATGATGGATGGGTATAATATTGTTTTCAGTGATGATTTCTGTCCTATTTAATAATATACGGGTGTTATGGACGAGCTTGAATCATAAGGCGTCGCGAAGTAGAAACGTGCGGTGAATGCACTGTTTCCGGACGATCATATTATGCAGGATTATGTCACGTGCATCATACTGTAGAAATAATATTTCTAGTTTCCAGTAGACCTCAGTTTTTGCTGTTGCCTATTGAACATGCATAGCATCTGATGGGAAAAAAGTAACCTGTTTATCTTATTCCCCACAAACACTAACAGGTTTCTGGAACCAAATCAAGCTAGCTAGGTATCAGACATCTCAAGAAGATATAGATCAGTTCACCGAAAGTACGCCCCGACGATTGGACGAATGTATATGACATTGGGGTCAACCAGCATAAGATTACGATAACTTAGCGACACAGCAAATCGTTACACTTCAGAATTTAATTGCTATTTGCTCTTGCTCCTGTATACAAAGCTTCAACCAAATAAAAACATTTTTTCTGAGGGTCCTGTTCTTTTATCAACTATCACTGGGACATCAGATCACCACTCTGAACCCCTAAGCAGAGAAAATATCCGTTCACTTTGGGCTGGCCTTCCTATCAAACATTACTCCAACAATGTAGCGATATGGTCATAAATTATTATCGGTTTCGCTACCCTTTTGTCATCCTGCTTGAAACTGTATTCAGCCACTCACATTGAAAGCATCATTAATCACTTGCGGATTGACTTGTTTCCTGACAGTCACCGAACTGCTGTAGTCTCCTCCAGCCTGCGCTCCTGCTCCTCCGTGGACGCCTGCTTCCACCCCCGCACCGGCTCCAGCATAGCCACCGCCTGCAGCAGACCCGAATTTTCCTGCGTACAATGCTCCGGTGTTTTCGTAGCCAGACGTGTTTCCATCACCGTACCCTCCAATGTAGCTGCACGGACATACAAAGCATTATTTACAGGTGGTGTGCGAGTGCAGTGGGTGTGCGTGACTTGCAAAGTGACTACATTAAATAAAATTATTTATTCCGAGTGTTTCAAACTCTACTCCTGTAATTGGGATCTCGGTAACGCCCAACTAGCAAAGGAGTGCTATAAGCTTTTGGTAAAAGAACCGTTCAGCCATAAAAGCTCTCTATTGTTGTGGCCTGAACCCCAAAATGCTGGCTTAATGTTGTGTGGAATGCAAATTTGCTTTCTGCAACATATTTGCTCTAAAATGAGGTGTTTAAAATATTCTTATAGCATAGTTACACAACACCTTATAGGACAAATTTTTAGCTGTTGCATAAACGTTTATACAACTATTTTATACGGCATATTTGCAGATTAGTCAAAATGGTTGTGTTGTGGCATCCACGGTAACGTTTATAAAATAAACCCGAGCCTTGTTGTTTTGCTGTGCAATTTACTACTTTAGCCAACAAATTGCTCCCAACGGAAGCACTTATACAACTGTTGTTTAGTAACTGTTAAAGGCTGTACATATGCTAAATATGTATGTTGGTAAACAACTTCACCATAACCTAACTTTCTGCTGTCATATTTTTGTTAAAATACCATAACCAGTGTTTTAAGACAAACAACGCATGCATATTGGTTAAAAAGGTTTTATCAACTGTTCAAACAGAAGATATAGATCTGGTACAAATTCTAGGTAAATCATTCGACTCTGTCGGTATTTCATTTCTGACATTTGTCAAATCGTTGTATAACACCTGCAGGCAACACCAAAATATTCTAATAAACTAAAGACAACATGGACGATGCCATGATTATATTATACACAACCACCCGCCATATTGGGAAAACATTTATTCCTCTATTTGATATTAAACAATTATGTTTCAGTTCGAAATTACAGATATAAAGTGATAAACATTAGTGTAAATGTGTCTAAATGTAGGATTTGTGGAAGATTTGACGCAGATAAGTTCAGTTTACCATCTTAAAAATCTAGACATACTTTTGATCATTATCAAAATATGAATCAAACACGAAGCCCGTAGAAATTGCGCAACTAATTTGCATGATAATCACAATAAAATTTGCTGCGCCAATAATTCAATAGCCCTATATCACAGTGTAGAAGTCTATCATATACCTGGGTATGAAATTCACAATGGCCGATATGTAAGTAAACAAGATGACTGTATTGTGTTAGTTATATATTCTTCACTTCGTCTATACAATACATAAGAAACAGTTTGGTTGCAATAAAGTAGAATCACGTAACAGAATAGTTGTATAGTTGACAAAAACTGAATCTTGCACTGACGCAAATGTCCTATAGCGGCTGCAAGAGGCTTACACTTTTGTTGTATAACTGTTACCTGCAGCCCTTATACAACCTCTTAAATGTCTGAAGTGTCCTATTAGGTGTGCCCATTCCGCTTGTATAGCTGTTCTAAGAGGGTTTTGCCAATGTTCTTACAGTGTATACTATACAATGCTGTGTAAGGAATACTGTATAATCATTCTTGCAACTCTAATAGGAGTGATAATTGTTAGTTGGGCGGATAACGATACGAAGTCGGTTAAATGGAGGCAAAGCTGCGCAATTTGTAACTAAGGAAATGGCAATTCTTGGATAATTTTTGATTTTTCCTTTGCTTCCTTTTTATTTATTTGGCTTTTATTATTACTCATTACGGACGCTATATTGAATTTTTGCACAGTGGATAGATTTTAAAATTATGTTTGTAAAATTGTATAATGTCTTCTATAGACACTGCTAATTGTCAATCAGTTTTTGAGAAGCGTTATAGTAGAACGATGCAGAATCTTGAAGCCGCTCTACATGGCACCTCAACCATATATTATTAGAATTTGAATGCAAGATGTGTGCATCGGCACAGGTATGACCGATGTGGAATGTGGGTAGAAAGCTGTAGCTTCATCAAGGTTTTTATGATGATATTGTTTTCAGTGTTATCAGAACTACCCATAATTAACGTGAAAATGCTTCAGCATTATGATGTTCTTTATTCGATGAATGAAGGCCATCAACAGGATGATAGTTTTTTATACATTTCGAGTATTATAATATTGACACATGTCGTGATATTTACAATAATATCTCATTAAAATCGGGAATTCGGACTGATCGCCAATGCTCATAAAACCTGATGGAATGCTTGGCTAATGAAATATCGTTGCAGAAAACCATTATCTGATAATTATAGTAATAACCAACCAGACTCACCTGTACAAAATCCAATATGGTGTCAATCAAAAAAATAAAGTTAATGATTGAGGGCAAGTGACGAAACATAATAGTCGAATTCTATTTTCGCCATCACGTATGTGAAAACATAGCAATATTCATTTACTCTTTATTTTAAGATCTCATCTCAAATGAAGTCATGATAATGAGAACGGTTTTGGGCAGATTCGGTTGCTTCTTTCTGGAAACTCTTGGAAGTATGGACCTTTTTAAGTGATACGTTAGTTATTGAGATGCGCAACTTCGCCCTTATATAGCCGACTTGACATCCCCTACCGTTTCCGAGATCCCAATGGTGAGAATCAAATTTGAAACACCAAGTATATATGTCGGCGTCAAACGCTGAAATCCGTCATTCCCTAAAATGTTTAGTCAGTCCCCGCACTGCCGACAAACACCGTAACAGTTTGATTATTACAACGTTTGATTAAGCATTCCAGTCATTCCCTGTAATGAATGAACAACCACATTAAAACGCTGTAATCAATATAATGTTGCTTCAATGAAGTACATAATATAACAAGTTACTGCTTTATCAATAATATTGAAAGAAAAATAATCAAGCATGAGGACAGAAGAATAGATTAAAACGTTGTCTTTATTATTACATTATTGCTTTTTTAATCAAGTACGTATAAACGAAATCTGGCAACAATGGATGCTACTGTTGAGCAAGCCTATGTACGTTATAATTTAGGTTAGGTTCACGAAATTATAAAAATTAACTTATCTCTTTTAACTCATTTGTATTTCATGGTTTTTTCTTATTCACACTGTCATAGTATACACTTAGTTTCTTGTAAAACAATTCCGAATGCTGCGAAATTTTCACAAACACAGAAAAGACGATGTGTATATGTGCAAATGAACACGAAACTGGTGCAATGAATGGCTGAATCAGGCCAATGCAGTAACGAAGTTAATGTGGTTGTTACGGTGTTTGACTGAAATTGTTCAGTCATTACAGGGAATAACTGAAATGCTTAGTCAAACGTTGTAATAATCAAACTGTTTCGGTGTCTGCCGGCAATACGGAGACTGACTAGGCATTTCTTGGGAATGACGGAGTTCAGCGTTTGACGCCGACATATATACCTGTTACAGGAAATTAAAGAAAATTTTCCCATCATACGGAATGCTTAAACTTGCTTAGATTGGTTGAAAGCCGAGAGGCTTTTCAAGTACAGCTTCATAAACATTGTACATACAGTAATGTTATCTTCAAGACAATATGACTCTTATCCATAACCTAGATTACCCTTGATCAACGTCTTCTATCTAAAGAGAGCCAGCCTAATGCTATACGTATATTTGCGCGCCCAAAAAAATATCTGAGGTTAAATGAACAGCAGTCACCTATAAGCTTGTATGATGCTCATATGTGACGCTGTTCTTTTTAAAGTATATAATTATATACTAAATACAGGAACAACAATGAAAAATTCCCATAGATGACGCCAGGCGATATCTCATTTTATCTCAGATAATTTTTTGGACGCGCAGATATATAGCTTTAAGTTTGTTATCTTCCGATAGAATAGGTTATTCAATACTTTTACCACTTGCATCAATACCTCAACCTGTTTCCGAGAACTGTACAGTAAACTTTCAAAATTGGACAAATTTGAACACGAAACAAAGCGTTTCCGGATGTGTGTATACAGAAATCTTCTTTCATATCCTGAGGACAGTTTTGGCCATGCAGACCATAAAGTTTGTGCACAATCAATGAACCTAC